TTTGTTTTTGCCTAGTGTGTGAGTATTTTCTAGTACTGAATTGGTCCTAAATCCATTCGATATCTTCAATACCTTCATATTTTAAACTTTTAAAATCAGTTTACATTTACCCTCTTTCCCAGTTGGAAGAATAGTCTAATGCCTATATCAAGACTAGAGGCCCGATGCACGAAATTCATGCACGAGTAGGGTCCCTAGGCCTGGCCAGCGATCAGGGCCAATCGGAGCCTTCCGGCTGCCAGCCAGGGCCTTCCTTCAGGCTGCCAGCTGGGGCCTTCCTTCATTCTGTGCCACCCCCTGGTGCTGAGCACATGTCATAGCGAGCGATCGAACTCCTGGTGGAACTCCCGAGGGGACACTTTGCATATTAGCCTTTTATATATATAGATTACATAGAGATGGGCTGTAAAGCTCTCTTATGATAAAGAGTCTCATGATTTTTGTTTGTTTTGTTATGCTTTCTCCTTTATCCTAGGACGCTTACCATTTTCTATTAGAGTTCTCCTGGAGGCAGCCATTCGGAACTGTGATCAATTTCTGGTGAAGAAAGATGACATTGAAAATATCCTAAATTGGAATGTCATGCAGCACAAGAACATAGAAGTGCCATTTAAGCCTGCTCGGGTAATCCTACAGGACTTCACGTGAGTCTCATGTCACTTTGCTCTCTTCTTCTCTGCCTCCCTCGTCAGACTTTAAAGAAAGCTTTAAATAAAAAGCCAGCCACGGTGACTATATAATTTATTACCCAATAACCAGACACTTTTGAAAACGAAAGGGAACTACTGATCCCAGTCAGCAAGAGCTAGTTTCAGGCAAGCTGGGATGTGTTCCCTCTGCCTCTTCCAGTGACAAAGGTCACTCACTGTCTTGGTCTTGAAGACTGCAGTCCCTAATGTGCCAGCGAAGGGGGAGAGACGTGGGAGTGGAGCTGTCTTGGAATCTTCCTCCCCACCCCGCCACATCCTGCCACTCAGGGAGACAAGTTTCAAACAACTGTACTTGAACACTGACGTGCAGTCTCTTGAGGGGTGATAAGGAGTTCGCAAGGCCTGACCTATTGCTGTTAAGCCCCAGTTCACATCCTGCTGTTCCCAGAAATCTTTGCTCCCCATCGGCCTCTCTTTTGAGCTAGCACTCACTACCTTTCTATTTTTAAATGATATTAATTTACTCCTTCTGGAGGCCCAATTTTATTTTTCTATGGAAAATACCCAAATTTTATACTCTAATATAATAAAAAGGAAGGATTCACTTGTAAATTTTATGTATAACCTATTTTTCTGAATTATGTTCATTCCTTTAAGTTTGGTCTGAAGTTGAATCTGTGTTCATATGTTTTCTCTAGGTCTTTGTCAGCCCACCATGTGAATGGGAAACAGTCATGGTAGTAACAGTTCCAGAGTTTTTAAGCACCAGCTTTCCCAGAGTTTCTCTGTTTAGACCATGTTGGTTGTTAACTTTAATGCAGCGATAAAATTGCACATAGAGATACGACGCAGTCATGGCACTTACTGCTTGTGTGATTTCTGCTCAAGGAAATGTGTTCAGAAACTTTCACTTCTCTAAGTCATCGTTAGGTCCACTGATGAGAGTTTCATTGCCAATTTTTTGTCAGTGGAGACAAAAACTAACAAACTCAATGACACATGCTTGACAGATTTCTCTTCTGCTTAATGCCTTCTTTTCTTAGGGGTGTGCCAGCCGTGGTAGACTTTGCTGCAATGCGTGACGCTGTGAAAAAGTTAGGAGGAGATCCAGAGAAAATCAACCCCGTCTGTCCTGCTGACCTTGTAATTGATCATTCCATCCAAGTCGATTTCAACAGAAGGTGAGAGATTAACATGAATACCTGGGTTTTCTGCTTTGTGCAGAATATTGGAGTGAGTGTGTGTGTGTGTGTGTGTGTGTGTGTGTGTAATTAAATAAATGAAGAAAATATTTAAAACGAATATTTAGGAAAACTCAAACTTGATATAGATTTTTCAGTGAGGCTTTTTATTTGGGGGGTGAGGGTAAATTTTTTTAAATCTTTTTTCTTTTTTTTTCCTTTTTTCTGTTTACTTCTTGGGGTGAGCAGCCTGTGTTTAAATCCAGCTTGAAGTCTGAGTGAAAAACATTCACGTGAATTTCTGCCATGAGAGTTTGTCAATGCAAGTACTTGTTTGACTTTAAGAGCTAAGGTTTCTTGTTGTTTTTAACCACTGGATCCTTATTCCTTTTTTTAAAAATCCCAAGTAACTATTTTATATCTGGCTATCTCCCCTCTCCGTGTCGGTTTCTATAATGCCTATGCCTTTTTTCTCCTTTGTTCTTTTTTCTATTGTTTGTGATTCTCCTTTCACTGTTCCCCAGAATTCTTCCAATAATGCTAACATTTCCGTGGCAGTCAACCATAAGAATTTATTTCTTACACGTCTACAAGGTGACTGGGAGATCAGCTGATCTAAGCTGAGTGCAGTGGGGCAGCTCTGCTTCATTCAGCCCTGGCTGGGTCCGCTGCTGACACTGCACTGCACCTGTGCGGAGCAGCTGGGACAGCACCACTCCATGGGTGCTTCTGCTAGGGCCCCGGTTGAAGGAGAAAGCAACTCTTCACAGGCTCACGAAGGCAAGCAGGAACCCACAATATATTGAGGCTAGATCAGGACTGGCAGAAGTTCACTTCTAGTCACAAGGACATTAATCAAATCAAGTTACACAATTAAGTCCAAAGTCATAGAAGTATTTGCAAGATTACACAAGGGAGGGCAGCCAGGTCCTGCTAGAAAGCTGGTATCTTAACTAGATTATAGCTAGATAAAGTTCTTACCAATTATCACTGAGGAAAGAAATAATTATTCTGGGAATAATGCTGGGAAAATTAATTATTTGATAGATGTAGCAGTTCATATGAATTAAAGCATTAATATTAAAAAAATTAAATCATAAAATTTGGAAGAAAATTCAAGAACATGTGTCAAATATCTTTATGAGAAATACCTTTCTAAATTTTGAAGCAATGAATAAAACAAAAAGAGGGGAAATCTATAGATTTAATGACTTCAAAGTTAACAGGAAATAACTTGAAAAAATATTTGCAACAAATATGTCCAAGGGTTAATATTTTTAATATATAAAGGGGGGTGTGGAAGGTGATGTCAGCAGCATGGCATTGAGAGAGGTCCTTCTGACCTCTCCCCTTGAAGCTAGGAGTTGAACAGCTGAAATTCTACAGAGGATTCCCTGCTTAACACACAAGCACGTCTGAGAGATCCACACATAGAAGCATCTGACGGTGGGTGAGTCAGAGCCAAGGGGAAGAGGGAGGGGGGAGGAACAAAGAAAGATAGGGGTCCCAGACGCAGCCTGGAGCTCACTGCGGGGCTCGGGAGCTGGAGGAATCGGTCACGGTGGCCACACTCTGCAGTCCCGAGGAGTAGGGGGTAGAGTCAACATTCCTGCTTGAGTGGCCAGCACATATGACAGCTGAACCCAGTAATGGGCAGAGACAAGACAGTTGCAGCAGCTGTGGATGAGCAGCTGCCATTACCAGGCACTAAACAAAGCCATAGAACCCCCCTCCCACCCCCCCAGAGCTTGCCTTCCCTCACCCTCCCAAAGCTCACACCTGCCCCCAGCAGAAGCTCTAGCAGCAAGTGTTGGTTACAGACCACAGGATCTACAGCCCTGAGAACTGGAGAAGCAGACACATTCCTCCCTGCGCAGCAGGCACACGCTGTGGCTAATCCTAGTGGCGAGTAGAAATACAGAAGTCTGGCATTAGAGCTGTGGCAGCTGCTATTAGTGGGAGGAGAACAAAGCCATAAATGCATGAATTGGCCTCTCCCAGCCCAGCCCGTCCCAGCCCATTGCAGCTGAGTCCCGCAGAGGCTTAGCTAGTGCAGCACGGCCAGCAGCATGCAGTTGCCGGATGCAGTGCGGACTTCACCGGCGTGGAGCACTGTTGCCCACCACATTTACCCCTGAGGGTGGTGCCTGGAGACCCAGGTGACCTGGTGAGGGGACACCCACCTCCCCAGGGAATACAGGGCACTTTCCACTGCCCTGCAGAGAGCTGAGAAGCCGGAGCAGTTCAAGATGAAATAAAAACATGCCTCAGGGCCACCTACTGGAAACCAAAAGAAAGACCTCTTCCTATCAACCTGCTGACAGAGATGCGCTACACACTCTTTAAAAGGCAGATTCCATTCCCATAAATGCCTCGGCAGAGAAACAATCCATCAAATACCACGAATAACCAAGGTAGCAAGGCAGCTCAGAAAGGATATGAAAAATCTCCAGAAAAGAAAGACAGGGAAATGTGTGACTTAAGTGACAGAAGATTGCATTTCTGAAAAAAAAAAAAAACCCTCAATGAGATACAAGAAAACTCAGGCAGTTTAATGAACTCAGAAATAAAATCCACAAACCAAAGAGATTGAAATTTTTAAAAAGAACCAAATAGAAATTTAGGAGCTGAAGAGCTAAATAAAAGAGATGAAGAATGAACTAGTGAGCTTAGGAAGAAGAGCTGACTAGATGGAGGGAACAGTAGTGATTTTGGAGATAGAAATCTAGAAATGGCACAGATGGAAGAAGAAAGAGATTTGAGAGTAAAAAATAAAAATGGAAGAACTCTAGAGAACTACTGGACTCCATCAGAAAGAGCAATATAAGAATAGTGGGTATGCCAGGAGGAGAAGAGAGGGAGAGGGAACAGAGAGCCTGTTCAAACAGATAGTCAAAGGGAACTTCCCAAACCTGTGGGAAGATGGATCCTCGAATCCAAGAAGCTGACAGAACACCTAGGTATCTCAATCCAAAAAGGCCTTCTCTAAGGCATATATTAAAACTGTCAAAAATTAATGACAAATAATTCTCATGGCAGCAGAGGATAATAAACTACAAAGGAAATCTCATTAAAGTATAGGATTTTTCAGCAGAAACCCTACAAGCTAGGAGAGAGTGAAATAAAATATTCAAACTATTGAAAGAGAGAAATTACCAGGCAAGAATAATATATCCAACCAAGTTGTCCTTTAGATATGAAGAAGAAATAAAGACTTTTCCATACACAGGAGCTAAGGGAATTCATCGCCACAAGTCCTGCATTACAGGAAATACGGAAGGAGGTTACCTGAAACAAGCAGACATGCATAAGATGGCTCATGGACAGACAGAAACAGGAAATTGCAATCTTGTAGAATAGAGTAGAATATTATACCCTTCAATGTAGTGTAAAGATTAAAAGAGGTAAAAACATTTTTAAAAAAGAAAAGACATAGCTACTGCAATTTGGAAATGCACTCACAGCATAAAAAATATGTGACAAAAATATAAAAGGAGGGGGGGAAAGGTCTGAATTTGCACAGGGCAATAGAGAGAAGATGCAATCAGAAGCAAAATGACTGCTGCATATATGAAACTTCTATTACATAAACCCAATGGTTACAACAACAACAAAAATCTAACATAAAGAAAAACCAGGAAAAATTATAGAAAACTAAAATAACAGACAGAAGCCCAAGGAAAAAAATAATAGAGGCACAGAGCTACCAGAAAGCAAAAGGTTTAAATGGCTATAGGAAATACTCATACATCAATAATCACCCTCAATGTAAATGCTCTGAATTCATCAATAAAAAGGCACAGAGTGGCAATTGGATCAAAAAACAAAATCTAACCATATGCTGCCTTCAAGAGATACATCTAAGCTACAAAGACAAAGATAGGCTTAAAGTGAAAAGGTAGAAAATGATAGCAGGTGTAGCCATACTTATATAAGACAAGTAGATATCAAAATAAAAAGTAACCAGACAAAGATGGACATTTTATAATGATAAAGGGGACAATACATCAAGAAGATAGAACACGTCCATAAGTATGCACCCAGTAAGGGAATACCAAAATATCTAAAGCAACTACTAACAGAACTTAAGGGAGAAACTGACAAAAACGTGATTACTGTAGGGGGCCTAAATATCCTATTGATAGCTTGGATAGATAATCCAAACAGAAAATCAAAAAGAAAGTGTTGGTCTTACACCACACTTAGACTAAATGGGCATAAACTCATTTGCAGAGTATTTCATCCCAGAACACCAGACTATATGTTATTCTCTATTGCACATAGAACATTCTCAAGAGTAGACCATATGATGGGACACAAAACTAGCCTCAACGAATTTAAAAATATATATATATATTTTTGTTGATTTCAGAGAGGAAGGAATAAGGAGAGAGAGATAGAAACATCAATGATGACAGATAATCATTGATCAGCTGCCTCCTGCATGCCCCCAGGTGGCAACCAAGACAGCAATCCAGGTATGTGCCCTGGATTGTGAATTGTAATCTCCAGGTTAATGCTCAACCATGGAACCACACTTGGCCAGGCTAGCCTCAACAAATTTAAGATTGAAATCTCATCAAGCATATTCTCTGACCACTATGCATTGGAATTGGAAATCAACTACAAAAGGAAAGTGGAAAAAGCTATGCATATATGGAGATTAAACAACATGCTACTAAACAATGACTGGGTCAAAGAAGAAATAAAAGGAGAGATCAAAAGACACATAGACAAATGAGAATAACAGTATGACATATCAAAACTTTAGGGATATAGCCAAAGTGGTGAAAAGAGGGAAATTTATATCAATACAGGCCTATCTTAAGAAAAAAGAGAAATTCTAAGAAACCTAACATTTCAACATAAGGATCTAGAAAAAGAACAAAGACCAAAGTCAGCAGAAGGGAGGGAATAATAGAAACTAGAGCAGAACTAAAATAGAAAAGAAAAAGACAATAGAAAAATTAATGGAAGAGCTAGTTTTTAAAAGATTAATA